CTGAAACCTCCTTTGACTCTGAGTGTTGTTTCTGCTCAGACTCACCTTCAGTGTCAGCAGCTGGAAGCAGCAGTGTTGTAGCTGAAGCTCGGTCCGATCGTCTGAGCGTCTCTTTACAGAATAATAATCACAAAGTGTTTCCTGGTTTATGTGAGGTGAGCCAGGTGAGGGGCGGAGCTTCATCATACCTCTCCTCCTGCCTCACCTGTTTTTCAGCGTCTGTTTCATTCCACAGCAATGATTAAATCTAGGACATATTAGCTTGTAGTTTGCAGCAGGCGGATGCAACAGTCCAGGTATAGTTTTCGGTTGAACATCTCTGGGTGTCTTATTGACTCCAGCCCTGTCCAGTGGGTTTAACATCAGAGTTACCGCGTCAGAAATGATTGCAGTTGGTGGCATTCCTCGTTGAAGGTCTTGTTTGGGGGAAGTAGAAATTCAGCAGAAACTGGGATAGGCTGGTGAAGGAATCAAAAGAATTCCTTATTTTATCTTGATGGATGGACTGGTGCGTTATGGTTCTGAGAGACCCGACAATGTACCGGTCGATCTGCATTCTCCTCCTAAAGCTCCGGTTAGTGATCGAGAGAAAGCAGCTGGAATCAGTGTCCTCTGTTGGGTTTCTGGGCTTTTTTTTTTTTTAGAGGCAGGTTCAGAAGCTGAGACATCTGGAGGGAGCTCAGAGTGGAGCTGCTGCCGTTTCTAATCAAAGAAATAGAAATACAGATTGTAAGCGGTCATAAATGGTGGATTCTGCTGTTGGTGTCGCTGCTCGGCACCATGAAGCTAAAGTTTAAGTTTTAAAACAAGTGTTGGGTCTGACTTAGAAAAGGCATCTGAACCAACTGTGTGAGAGTCATAAAGGAAACAGTCATGTGTGGAACTATTTCAGACATTTGTAAAGCTCCGCTCATTATAATCTTATTTTCATGATAATAGAGTTTTTCTTTTCATTTCACTTTTCACACTGACACCATGTTTTAGTGGATGCTGAAAGGTCAGAGGTCAGTGGCAACACGGCTGTCATGGAAAAATGGCTTTTTGAATTTAAAATGCACCACTGAGGGAAAAATGGCTGTTTTTCTATTTTAAAAAAAAACTTGGTGGCATTGAAGAACTGGAAAAAAATTTTGAAGTGAAAAGGAGAATTAATTATAAAACAGTGAATTCAATAAGGTTTTCATCTTTTTGTCCTGAGGTAACTGTGGGGCGTTCACACGAGTTTTTGTCTGATTTTAGAAGGTGTCAAAGCCACAACGAAGCGCCACAGTTCACTGAAAACGTTTTTATTCTCTTTTTTTATTCGCAGCGACCGTGACGGGATGAAACGTCAGAGAGAAGGTCAGAGAGACGCCGGGATCTCTGCCGGAGAAGCTGAGTCGAGGAAACGGTCGGCGAGAAAGACAAAAAGAGCTCGAGGCCGATGAAGATGATTGGAAACACGGAGATGAAGGGTGAAGGCAAGAGTGGCAGCAGCTTCCCAGAGAGTCAGGATGTGAAAACACACAAATCTCACACAGGAACCGTTCAGCGAGGGCGTCTTTAAACTTCCTCCTCCAAGGTCTGATTTAAAATATTTCAGAGGTTTGGGACGTCTGGTGGTGATAAAATAACATTTAATCAACTCGTTTATGATTGTTTTTAAGGAGGGCTGCACCGTTTATCGTATCGACAACAATGACTGGAATATAAAAGCACCGACGTGTTTTACGTTTTAAGTGCACTGAAGCTAGCGTGAAGCCCTGTCGTCTAACATTCGTCAACGAGGGAGAAGTTACAGTAAATAAATGCCTTTGAATGAAGTTAACGTAGTTTTACAAAGTGGCTTCTACAGTCCTGCACGCCTCCATCCATAACAATAATGACGTTCACATTAAAAATCTATATTTTTACGAGTAGTAATTGGTTCCATAGAATGACGTTTTATATCAGCAAATAAATATCATGATTTTACATATGTTTGCTGTTATTTTCAGGGTTTTTACAGTTCTTGAATGTCACAATGTTCCAACGGG